CCCACGGCCGCCCCCCCCGGCCTCGGACCCGGCCGGGCTGAGCGGGCCCTGGTTCCGCTCTGTGCGGCCCTGCCCTCCCTCCTTCCCTTCCTCTTCCTTACAGCAGGTGGGCAGCCGCTGGCTCGGTCTGTCCCCAGAGTGCACTAACAAGGTCGGGCCTGCTTGTCTTCTCTTTCTGGCCCACAGACGCCGCACCCGTATCCCCACGGGTGGCAGGAAGGGAAGCAGGCAACCATCATGAGTCAGTTTAATCTGGACCGCTTTCGCTTTGAGAAGAGGAGCCAGGTAGGGGAGCAGGAAAACCTGCCCTCTCCCCTACCCGCTGCTCGGCCCCCAGCTGCTTCAGACGCTGCAGCAAGTAACGGTGGCGGTGGGGAGGAGGATAATGAGGTGACCGACGACAGCAGCAGGCCAGATACGCCAGCCTCAGATGTGACAGAGAAAACGGGTGAGTCAGGAGTGTTTCCTCGCATGCCAGCACACGGTAATACTGCATTTGGAAAAGTAAAAGCACCTTCTCTGTTTCCATCTTTTCTTCAGAATTTTCCCTTCTCTGAGGAATACAAAAATAATATCCAACTCTGCTGTAACATTAGCTTACCTAAAAGTCAGCAGAGGGTAAATCAGGGCACATGCTGTCAGGCCAGAACTGTCCGAGAGCCAGAGGGTATTCATCTGCCGAATAAGCTACCTGAGAAAAGTAGGCTAACCCAGAGTCTCAGCAGTCATCAAAAGGCCTCATGTCTCCCCTTCCCCTGCCTATGATAATTCAGATGACTTATTTTTTAAATTATATTAATGCTCCAAAGAGCCTGTTGGCACCACCAAAGAACAGCAGACATTGGCATTACATATCTCAAGCTTTTCTGGGGACTACTAGGTTACTGTAGGGATGACAGTATTATGTGAAATCTTAAAATACATGGAAAACATTTCCTTTCTGCTTAGGCCCCAGTTCTGCAGCTCAGGGCTGCTGACACTTATTGCAGGATTGGGGCATGGGACTTCTAGCACAGTTGAGCAGTCTGATTAAAATGTACTACTTTATTCTCTCTCTTTGCACTTCTACGGTTTCACTAAGGGTCAAGAGAGTAGGTTCCAACCACATCTGATAACCTAGACAAACTTAAATCTTTCCTTTGTCACGTAATTTTTCTGCTTAGTACCTGCTGTTAGAAATGGTGAGGGGAAGTACCTGTCAGAGATTTGTTAATAGAAGTCTTAAATGTTGGGAGCTAGTCAGTTTTGGAGCTGCTATTAGCATAGGATTGATAGTGGGTGAGCTGGAATAATTCTGCACTTATTCATTATTATATTTGGCTAGGAAGAGTGAGGCGGAATTTGATAATCGTCTTCAAGTACTTGAAGAGCAATTGCAGCAAGGATGGAATTGGGCTTTTCTTCATGTCCCTATGGGGCAGGACTAGGAACAATGGCTTCAAGGAAATGAAATTTAGGTTGAAGGTTAGGAGGAACTTTCTGACTTAAGAGGGTGATCAGTCACTGGAACAGACTGCCTAGAGAAGTTGTGGAATCTGCCTCCCTCAGCAGTTTTCAGGAGCAGATTGGCCAGGCATTTGGGATGGCTTTGGAATTATCCTGCTTTGAGCAGGGGGATGGGCTAGAAGGCCTTGTGAAGTCCCTTCCAGTCCTACTTTCCTGTCATCCTAAGCGTGTATTCTTTTTTATGTTATGGTAAGAGTCGTGTTGTAGATGTGATGGTCCAGAAAGTACGCGAAAGGCAAGGAATTCTTAAGATGTGATATCTGTATTGGACCAACTACATAGTTGGGATGTAGTTAGACAGGCTTATTTAATAGATTTCATAGACATTAGGGCTGGAAGGAACCTCAGGATCATCAGGTGCAGCCCTCTGCCCAAGGAGCAGGAAGTCAGCTAGGGTCAAAGGATTTAAGCAAGATAAGCATCCAAATGTTTCTTAAACGTGTCCAGAGTAGCTGCTTGCATCACCTCTGGGGGGAATCTGTTCCAGGTCTTGGGGTCTCACAGTAAATAAGCTTTTCCTTATGTCCAACTCTTACAGGAGTTTGTGACCATTGGACCTTAGTGTCCCTTGGGGTGCCCTGGTGAACAGGCGTTCCCCCAAATCCTGATGCACACTCCTTGTGTACTTACAGGCTGCCACCAAGTCACTCCTGAGCCTATGCTTCTCCAGGCTGAAGAGTCCCATAGCGCACAGCCTTTCTTCATAAGGCCTGTTCTTCTGCCCTTTGATCATGCGTGTGGCTCTCCTCTGGACTCTTTCAAGCTTCTCCATGTCCTCCCTGAATTGTGGAGCCTAGAATTGGATGCAGTACTCCAACTGCAGCCTCACCCAAGTCCAAGTACAGCAGGAGGATGGCATCCTGGGTCTTGCTCGAGATGCATCCGTAGATGCAAGCCAGAGTTTTGTTCGCTTTGCCAGCTGTGGTATTGCATTGGTGGCTCATGTTCATCTTGTGGTCAATCATGACCCCCAAATCTCCTTAGGTCATGGTGCTAGCGAGTGTAGCGTTGCTGAGCCTATAAGTGTGATGCCGGGTTTTTTTGCTCAGGTCAGGAAAGATGTCTTGCATTTGAAAGCTTGTCTAACTGTAGCCCAACTACGCAGTTGGTCCAATAGATTGTATTGTCCTAAGAAATCCTTGCCTATCCTTTTTCAGGCCATTAAATGGAGCATACTGCAATTGTATTTAACAATTGTCTATGTAAGAGTAGGGCCAGATTCTCTTCCTCTGGTTAGGCCTAATTGGGCTTTGGTGCCTATCTGTGATCTTAATGCAAAAAAAAAGAATGCTTTCTGTTTTTAATACTTTAATCTTAAGGTTAAGATAACATGTTACAAATTTAGACACATTTTGGGTTGTTTTGTTTTGTTTTGTTTTTTTCAAGGATTTGAGCTTATTGGAATAGGATCACAGTTATGTGCTTGAGTCCACTGTTCCATCCAAGAGGTAGAGTAGGCTGTGGCTGTGCTATCTTGGTGTGAGTCTAAATGGCGTGGGGGAAATGGGATAAAAAGGAGGCGATATTTTAATATGTTTGGAAATGACTTGCTCTTGTGCTGGTTCTCTCTTTCTCAGTCATCTTTTCCTTATTGATTGACAGTTTCATTATTTGGGCAGATTGGCAGTTACTGGTGTGGGTGGAGAGAGGAGGCTAAGGAGGGTGGAGTTTCTTGGGTAGAATCATCTCTGTACCTTAAAAAAATCAGGACAGCATCTTTAAATTGGGCTCGGTTAACAGAAAGCCACTGAAAGAATAATTTATTGTGGATTTTTAGGGATTCTTATTGGTAAGCAGGAACTTTCTCATGGCATTGGGCTTTGGATAGCAGCAGCTGAGCCCAAATGTTACAGAAATACAGGTCGTTACGGCCATGTTGGAGTCAAATAGCTATTGTCTTTTTAAACAAACCTAAATGAAAGTTTGTGTGCAAACAGCTTATGTTTATTACTAGCACTCTTGATAGCTTCATAAATTTGCTAAATCCGGGGAGAGTACTGAAGAGTTTTATTCTTCTGTAAGAGTTTTATTTTATAACTGTAAATCTGGTTGATGGCAGGAAAATGATGAATTAAGATGTTAATGATATAAGGCTTGCAGTAACTTTGATGTGGAAATTACAGTGTGAAATTGTACACTAAATTAAATGCATATATATATATTGCTGTTTATGAAATGGTGTGTGGTAGTGATTCCATACATGACTGTTAAGTCTTAAACTGAATACAAACTCAATTTTTTTTTTTTTTTTACAGCAGTTGCTCACAACCTGTCTGAAACTTAATTAATCAAAGCAATTTAAATCACCTGGCTCTTAAATACAGTTGTCTTATTTAAATTTGGCTGAAGCTTTATAAAGCTAAAATTAAAAATTGTGCTGTTGTCCTGCTTTATGCGGCAAATCACCCTACAGGATATATTATTACTGGCCCCAGCCTGGCCAACAGTTGTGGTTTGAGATGTCCTTTTGGTTGGCAGTTGAGCCGCACAAGTCTTTTAGACTTGCTTGCCCAGAGAGGAGAAAAGATACTGGATCTCCCTGCATGGATGACTAGCTCTCCCATTTGTAACAGAGAAGTTTTGACTAAGTGGACTTGGATTTTATCCTGTTGTAACTCAAGATCTTTTTCCCCTTATGACATCTCCATACTGGTTATACTAGGCCACCTGCTAGAGCTGAATCATGGTGACTTTTCACTCAGCCCAGGTGCCCCTGTTGCCATTAAGGCCTACTTTCATCTGGTATAAGGTTGGTCAGTCATCTCCCATCCAGCAGTCATGACATTCCTGAAAAACCTAAACAATCTGAAAGATCCTGTTTAAACCTAGTTCTTCCATCCCAGGTGGGACTGCAGTGTGAACCCATAGCAGCATATTTCATATGTCTGAAGATGGCTTTCTTGATGGCTTTCACCTTGGCAAGAAGAGCAATGAGAAGCAAGTATTGATGAGTTTCCCACTAGCCCAGCTTTTTTAACCATTGTCTCAGTGAACAGATCAATCTGCTGGTGTTTTTTTGTCACAGTTTTACTCTTTGAAACTTGTGGCATAATTACATGCACTTGATTGGAAAAGGAACCCTGTCTTCCTGACTTACTTCCATAAGAGCTACTTCACAGTTAAGGCGGCTAGGATCTGGAACCAACTTCCAGGGGAAGTGGTGCTGGCTCCTACCCTGGGGGTCTTTAAGAAGAGGCTTGATGCCTACCTGACTGCAGTCATTTGAGCCCAGCTTTCCTCCTGCCCAAGCAGGGGGTCAGACCTGAAGATCTACAAGGTCCCTTCCGACCCTGCTTCTATGATTCTATGACTGCATAGGGCTGGCTTTCAGGAAGAAAAAAAACAACCCTCTACTGTTTGTTTACTTAAACAAAACAACTGAAGGTGCATTGATTTTTGACACACTTTCCGGTTGAAGGTGGATAGAAACTAGCTGTTTCGTCAAATTCAAAGGGTAGTAGTCAATGGCTTGATGTCTAGTTGGCTGTCAGTATCAAGTGGTGTGCCCCAGGTGTCTATCTTGGGGCCAGTTTTATTCAATATCTTTATCAGTGATCTGGAAAATGGGATGGAGTGCACTCTCTGCAAGTTTGCAGATGACACTAAGTTGGGTGGGGGAATAGATATGCTGGAGGGTAGGGCTAGGATTTGGAGAGAACTTGACAAATTTTAAGATTGGACCCAAAGAAATCTCATGAAGTTCAATAAGGACAAGTGCAAAGTCTTGCATTAGGATGGAAGAATCCCCTGCACCGCTACAGCCTGGGGACTGACTGGCTAAGCAGCAGTTGTGCAGAGAAGGACCTAGACGTTACAGTGGACAATAACTGGAAATGAGTCAGCAGTGTGCCCTTGCTGCCAAAAAGGCTAACAGCATACTGGGCTGCATTAGTAGGAGTGTCACCAGCAGATTGAGGGAAGTAATTATTCCACTCTATTCTG